ATAAAGTTCAGGTCAGACAACTCACGTTTGAAATGCTTTTTACAGCACTATAAATATTAGATTCAGCGTCTAGGCTCAGACCTCTCATTCCCCCACAGATATTTACATAGAGATATTGGGGAGTGATTTAGCAACATACCTTAACCCTAGCCAGCCTACAGGTGGGATGCTGGGGTGGTGGTGGGGCTTACAGAGAAGCAGCAGCAATTAAGGATGTAGGGCAACAGAGGCATTTTACAGCAGCAGAGGCGAGAGCTGGGAAATGTGCAGTTTAAATAGCACCACCAGACCTTTGGAATGGGTGCGTTTTGGGTTAGCGATTTATTGGAGTTGGAGGGCTGTCAGATGTGTGTATAAGCGCGCAGCTCGGATGTTGACTACCTTGACTACCTCGCCAGGGCTTCGCCTTAAATGATGGTTGGTTTATCCTTCTTCGGTTTTCCTTTTTCCTAGAACTCTAACTCTTTGACCCCAGTTTTGAAACCAGCTGCCCCTAAAACATCCTTGGTGTGACACCCTGTGCTTGGTTGACATAATTAGGGAATTATTATTATATTTATTATCTACTGTATTGGAATTATGAAGCCTATCTAATCATAGATTTACTATTTGGTAATTATATAATTAATTATAGTTTAAACTACATTTCCGTAGCATGTATACTTGGCTTAAAAATGACCCAATGTTGTATGTACATACATACATACTTTTAGAAACATGCACACTGTACATATAGGAACATAAGGTTGAATAATATTCTGTTCGTTCAGTGTTTATACTGTATTTATTGTGTATTTGTATGTTTTTGTTAGATTTTATTCTAACCTTATGTTCTATGTTTTTATATTTTCCTCATTCTTTTGCCACTACATTCTCTTGTGGCCTGCTGTGCCAACTTGTACAATAACTGGATATACAGTACGAATACAAGCCAGGAACACTTATCTTGTTTTTCTTATCTTATCTATTCTGTAACTAACTCGGATTCTTATCTTAAACTTAACGTTTACTTATCTTGATTCTTGGTCTTAAAGATTAGGTGAAGAAATGTGGCGCGTGTTCTCACACAGGATCAAATTCATAGTAATTCCAGCTGTTGTTCTCTGGCAGGGTTATAAGTTATATTTGACCTATCTTCTTCTCTTGCTCAGATCTGGCCCTGGTGTTCTCCATGTGCTGACTGTGACTGTTCAAATTATGTGCGGCTGGAGAAGCACTTGGGACTGACCACAGAACCAGCCTGTTCACATTAGCCTGAAAATAGGAAGGCTTATTGCCTCCAAATATCCACATATGGGGGTCCAGTGCCTTACCTTGGTTACGGAACCTGAAATTGGCTGCTTTGAATGCCTAGGCACTTGTATACTAATCTGAAGAGTTTCAGTGGCCACAATCGACACTGACTGGTATGGACAAAGCTTTGTAACTGTAACAGCTATATAAATGTAATATCAGAGCCTGATCACAGTTAATATTGATTTAGTCAGGTATCGTTTTTCCACTGAATCCAGTCAGCCATCCAGACAAAAACAAGTTTAATTACCTTAATGCTGAACCCAAGATGGAATCAACTGGATCGAATAGTGTCTTAAAATCCAAGAAAAAGGGCACATATATCCTCGTCGCCTTATTTTGGTAATTCGTTTTCTAGAGTAGTTATTTGGGATGTTTGTTCTACAGATAGGAAACAATTCGAATTTACTCAGTATCATAATTTATTATTTGGATTTTACTATCCATCCAGAATTTGAGAATAGAAGAGAGGACCCTTAATTTATAACCTGCTGGTGTCAGTTTGTGTGTTTAGGTCAAGCACTATAATGATGGGAATGCTTTTGACAAGTACGCCGGCTGCTTACAGTGCTCTTACTTATATGATATCCTAATCATCACTGTGATATTTTTAAATATTCCAATAGTAACTTCATTATCCATCGATTCTTTGTTGTTCTGTATTTCATAGGATTTATAAGTGGTATCTTTTTTTAGTGGAGGTATGTACTCAAATGGCATTAGTACATATGTAAAGAATGAATGAAGAATGTTTGACTCTTCACTAATTGTTCCCTACTGGCATTTATTGTATATCTGTATAAACCATAGGGTGTATTCAGAGTTCAGATAAAGTTGTCCAAATAAGGAAAGAGATTTTGGCAATTGAAGGCCGATTATGCAATGTACTAAAGTTTGTCGCCTCCCTGCCTGTTTTTATGGGAAACAGAAAGATAGGTGAAGGCAATAGCACACTGCCTTCTGTTTGCATCTAAAAGGATACCGCTCTTTTTTTTTACTGTCATGAACACAGGTATGTACTGGTAACAACAATTTGTTATTATAAGTCTAAAGGATTGAATAACTCCAACACTTTGAGATGTACAGCTACTATGGTTCATTGTCACCACAGTCTGACAAGAATCCTCTCTATCAGAACCCATGCCATCCGTTCTTCTTCTCTCCAACCCATCCTTCTTTGAGTTTGGCCTCCAATCAAAAAGACAAATCTTCACTATAACAAGAACTGTAGCCCACAGCCTGATAAAGCTTTTTCTCTGTGCTACCTTGATGAAAACTGCCTGAAAATAAAAAGCCATACTGCTGCTGTTTGTGTGACATTTCCTTCTTGCAATCAACTGTATAGATGTTCTATCTATACAGTTGTATGCTGTATGACTCCTTTACACCGGATACAGCAGATTCGAAGCTCTTGGTTCCCCTCTGGTGTTAGAGGTCACGTACTGGGTAAAAGTTGGTCAGGGTCCTTGAGATTGTTGGCATGGTTTAAATCTCCATTTATTGAAATAAATGCGCTGGGATGACGTGTCTGCAGTCGCGGACGGTGGTGTGGATGAGCGTCACAGGGTGCGCCGCATGCGATGGAGGAATGTAAACAAGACAATCCATGGCGGCCAAATGACTCACAGGGAGATAGTATGGCCTAACCGGAGGGCCAGCAGTTCCAATATCAAGTGTGCAGATCCTCTGCCTTCGTGACAAGCAGTCATGGGTTACAACATTTTAGAGTAAATCAAAGACAGAAAAGCTCCCTCCTCCGGACTTCTTACCGCTATTTTCGCCTAGTTCTGCCCGAACTATTAAAAGCGAATCTAGTTCCACTGAGCAGTCTGTCTTCTACCATTCAGCCATGTCTCAGTCAGACAAATCATGTGCCTCAACTTTGAAATAATTGCATATAAAACTGAATCTGAATTGCATAATCGAATTGAATTATTAGTTTGAACTGAATGTCAATAAACTTGAAACTGGAATATAACTATTATGAATCTGAATCTCATTGCAACTGAAGAACTGGTATTTGAGCTCACTGAATTACTATATATCTTATTACTAATTCAATTTTTTATTTTCAGTCTCTAAACTTTCAATTTCAACCCGCACAAGATTCACTTTTAAGGCACAGACGGTCAAACCTTAAGGAAGAATGCAATCGATTGCAGAGTAAAGCCTGCATTCTTCAACAGCCAGCAGAGGGCAGTTTCAGTTGCAAAGTGAATTCAGATTTCTATAATATTATATTCAGTTTTCAAGTTTATTAGAATTCAGTTTCAAAACTAACAAATTCAAATTATGCCAATTCAAATTCAGTTTTTTAAATGCAATTATTCAAGTTGAGCAATTCAGATTCAGGTTCTAAATGATTCAAATTCAGGTT